AGATTATGGACCTTTGCGTCAATCGTTACCGCATATAGAAATCCGATTCCTTCTGCAGCATCTATACACATATACGCCCTAAACAACCTGCAGCATTTTAATTCATTTGGTTTAATTATTGTTGCACAATGCGAATCAGCTGAATTACACCTAAAGCCTTCGTAATTTTTGCACTATTCTCTGATGGCATGCATTTATGTGATTTCCAAGTCTAATCATTTAAGCAACGAAACACTAGAGGTCATTGCTTACGTTTTGTCTTTCCGTTTTGAAACCTACACGATTGTTACGAAATACGAAGACGGCACTGTTTAACTCTATATTTGCAAGTAGCTTCATGAATCAGTTTATCAATCATTTTGAACATCTCTTTTTCGGTTCCGTCGAATTGCAAATGCTTTCTCTAACGTGAACTTTATTTAATTCGTTTTTCACTTCTCGTATCTAGCGATCCGCTCTCTGCCACCCTTGCGCTTAGCTGGTAACACGATAAGCAGTGTCCCATTTTTGGTTCGAATTTTGTTGCATTTATCTATTGCTAGCGTGCTTCTTTGCATTAAGCAGTCTCCGATCGGTGTATCAGCTATTCGTCTTCGGACTCAAAAAGTGATTGTTTTAATGAAATGCGGCGCGGCAGACGTCTTATGTGCTGATTAGCAGTCGGGCTGGCAAAAAATAATGTGATTTGCCGTGTCCATCCAGCCGGTATCTAGCATCCGATCACTTATCAACAGGAGTTGAGCGGCGCAACTGAATGGAAAGTGGATAATTAAATTTCTACCTGAAAGCCATGTCGAAATGATAGGGAACTAACAGAAAAATGCTTATTGAAACCTTTGCCTCGGGTCATCCTACCATGCACTGCGTCACTAAGACCGTACAACCAGCTCAGTGCCAAATGACTCGGCCTGGGCCGATTAAGGCCAAGATGAAGTGCACTTCCTTAATCCAACATGCTATCAGTTCCGCTGCCTTCACCTATCGAGCTCAATAACATCAACAGTCTGGGGTATAGCGAGTGTACAATGGACATTGGCGAATCCAGACCGAAGTGTTTGGATGGTGTCAAAGGGTTAGTGGGTACACTGGACACAAATATATATTATAGCCACCCTACGTTAGGTGTGTGGTAGACCACATAGAAGATTTGCTCACAGTTCGTCTACAGGGGATCAGCTTTACCAGGTGCAGAGCTGAGTGGAGTCGATGTTTACTGAAACTGTCATTCTCCACAAAGTAAGATGAACGGTGTGTTCTAGTAGCAAATGTAGCATGGCAATGATCATTCGGTATTCTGCTTTCCGACAGACCTTATGCCTTTAGAAACTAACATGAACGAGCATGTGCGCTGTCACCAATCTCTGAGAAGCGCAATAGTAATGAATGGAACAAAGCATGTTCCGATGGTTCTAGCAGTATTTGCCCACTATTCACAGACAAATTAGCGTCGACGATATATTTCGGGTCAGCAACGCCATAAATGGGAAGAAATTAAAAGCGTGCAACCTTGTAAGCTACATATCACTGCACTGAGGATGCCACCTCGCATGGTGGTGAAACATTTGTGAGAAAACCGCCAAGCTCGGAGAACAAATGAACAATTGATTCATCAACCCGAGCTACCAGTAGTTCGAAACATGTTAAAGTTTGCAGTTTGCATAGAAGATGTCCACCAGAGGGCATTCGATGCGGCATCTCTGTACAGCATTGAACGTAGTTGTTTGGAAACGTACACATTACATTCGAAAGTAATCTAGTGCATACTCCGTGCTCACACATGCAGTTAGATTCGTACATATCTATCGGTGAAGCACACAAGCATAATCACTTTCATCGCTGATGTGGGTTATTTTGCTCGAAAAATCAAAAGACTTATGCAGTGTCGTGAATTGAGGATATGATAATGCCCACTACAACCCCCACTCTACCTTCAGTTCAGCAATAAATAAGCTGGTATACATCATTCAGAATCTGGGGAGTAGTTTTGCCCTCGAAGTGTGTTGTATGTAGTGTCCGTTTAACACAATCGGTTTGTGGTTACTCGACTTCGCCAGACTGGATATCCTTGTTTTTCTAAAAATACTGCTGTGTTTTGGGAAAAGAGGGTACTTTGCTTGTTGCACATGCACAAAACTTGAATGTGCATATTCAACATAACTGACAGCAACTTGTGAACGGCGGCGTTCCTCATAATTCAGCACTACCAACAGATCTGGCCCGGTCAGTCATGAGACTCCAGGTATCAGCATAACACTTTGGGGGTGTTGCTGGGCCTTCCATGTAGTTGTGTCTGCTTTATACCATGGTGCTGGACAGGTGTATTTTCTAGGAAATATGGTGTTCTTTTCTTAACCGTAAACCAGGTCACAATTTTAAACATGGGATGGTTGAATTAACTAGAGGAGGGACACTGCAGCCAGCCAGTCAATGAATCAGGTAATATTTATCATTTGTGTCTGCAATTACTCGTATTTGGACCCATTGTTCGAACCTGATCAAGCAAAACGACTAGCGTTTTTTTACAATGCCAAGATCGTGTTTGTGACAGCGTAATATATAGGTTATTCGGTTTACAGTCATGGACTTATGATTTTCGAGGATGGTAGCTGACAGTATGGCAAAGTACTGATTATTGTCGACCGGAATAGCAAAAGTAAAATTATCCGACAACCAGTAAAATACCGTTAACTAGAACTGTAATGCATGCATGCATGCATAATAATAATGACTGCATAATACTTTTATGTATTACGGCTGGAAAACTGAATACAAGACGTTATCTACATTTTAAGGTGCGCTTCCTTCACTGAACTTGATGAGTGCATGATTAATATTACCTTGAGGCGAATCAGCGGGGTTACGCTGTATCTATGAAACTGCTCATTTTCATGAAGAGGGCAATCGAGATAGCAGAACATGGTAATCGTTGGATATATAATACAGTGTAACATGTGCATCTTGATCGTGTGATTAGGATTTCATGCAAAAAGAACTTGACAGTAATGAATTCGTCAAAGCAGAATTAAGACTCCTTCAAATTTAGAGCTACCTGACAACTAAGGGGCACCTAATGAATGTCTAGTGGATTCTTTAAACTGAACCTAACCGAATTGAATGGACTGCGCTTATAGGATTAACATCTGAAATTTCCTGATCAATATTCTTTTCGTCCTACGACTAGTTATGGACAAACATGCTTTCATCACTGGTCGGAGGTAAAAGTATATATTTTAACACACTGTGGAACACCGAACTAACTCGATCAATCTCACGGATGTCTAATGAGTGTCCGGAAAATCGTCTGTTCAGTGTGAGAGTAGGGGATGATTATGCAACGGAGTTGATAAGAAGAAGATGTAATGATGGCTCCAGTTAACGTAGTCGAAAGTTACGTATTACTCTTGGGGTCATTAGGCACTTCCTTTCCGATGGAGGAAAACTTAACTCTAAGGGACCTAGCTAATTGATTTAGGTGGACTTCTGACTATGCTAGATACCTTGAACGATTTCTTCGATTACCTCTAAGCCTGCAACAAATCAAGTCAACAAAGTGCTGGATACATCTTAGAAGAGTGAAAATTCCCTGTGCCATAACTTTTGAAAAATACTTTCATTTATGCCAAGTTAGAAGCCTAGGCAGTCTTCCAGTGGTAGTTAGACTCATGAAAATTACACTGTTCAATGTTACATGTTGTGCGAGACACACGGTGCAATTCTTGGATGAAGCCGGACCACTACATTTGCTCATCCTTCCAACCTGACAAGAGGCAACTAAACTGGTTTATTTTACCTTGCAGAATGAAGTGGAAAAAGTTCTGGTATACGATCGCGCCATCGAAAGCAACTGTGCTGGGGAACACGCTTACCAGAGATTAAAACCCTGAATTTCTTATAAGTTTTAATTAAATTCCCAGTTCAGCGGCCAGTTCCGCCCTGCCTCGTCTTCCGCACTAGTAAAGACGTGCTTCTACATCCGAGTATAATATGGCAATGAGGTGGCATTATTTGAAGTTCTGAGACGAAAATGACATTTGCCAACGCATTAGCTTTTGTTCCAATGACTGTTTATTGACATTTTCGTGACCGGTGAAGAGTAAACCGTTGTTTATGCAACACCGTGAACCAGCAAAGCTGTGAAGTTCTTTGGTGCATCTCATTTTGCAAATTGGAGCATATGAGTTTTACTCGGTGAGTGGCTCGAAACGCTAGAATGTCTAGCGCAAAAAGGTCGCAAAAGCAAACTTCATAACTTGAGACACTTATCTACGAATTTGGATGCGCGACAAGATGGATTATGCTGCTGTGAGGTGAGAGGCAGAGCACATCGTCTTTATCACTGATCACTAGTTCCATGTCGCATGCACATAGAACAGGAAGTCAGTTCGTCCTTCCAATTCCAGGTTGCCACTCTTATTTTGCTCACGATCGTCTTTTATTTCCTTGAAGTTGCACACAGGGTTGCATCGTCGGCAGCTCGTAGTGTCTCGAGGAAGGTTATGGATGGATGTGCCAGTGTCAATGGAAATGGTTTGACCACTAAATTAAAGTTTTATCCCACCACTTACTCTCGTCGGTTTATCTAAAATGGCAGGTTTTCAAGCATTGGTTGCAGACTAGATTATAGATATCTACGTTTGGTGCACCCAACTAAAAGTGGAATCGGGATGTCTTATAATGTTTCTAGGTTAGTCCCTTGGGAACATGTGTGCCTAGCTTGTCTTCACGCAGTAGGTAACTAGATAATTTTTTATACGTAATTTGGGGTCCCAACGCACATCAATATCACACTGACACTGAAGTATTGATACGCGAGAAGCATGTCTATACCACCTTACCACATTTCTTACCTGTCCCTAATGGCTTTTCATGTTTGGACATCCCTTTTGTACAATTCCTTTGAACCTTCTCTAGTTGGTCTAATGTTTCTAATCTTTTTGCTTGATCTCCTCACTCACTCAATCATTCATTCGTCCACCGCGCAAACAAACTGAAAATTCAAGCAGGAGACGGAAAGACTACAAACGTTGGTGCAAGATGAAAGGGAGTTCGGATGTCGTAAGTTCCTTTGTGAGTGCGCACATGTTTGTATTTCCTCATCAAAGAGGCAATTGTCAGCGTTTTCACTACAACGTTGCCAGATTGAAACATTGGCCCACCTGAACATGTCATTAAGAGGTTAAGGAATCAAAGATCACGATATATCTCTAACCTGAGTGCTTCAGTAGACACACTGCGCCATGCTAAAGCGGCGTCTATACTCTCAACGGGCTTCAGTATTGTGATTACGACGTGGTTACTGAGTACTGCGGTGGTTTTGTTGTTAGTAACACGCCTGACTCTGTTTGAATTCAATACCCTGTATTCACTTCATTTGGCAATTTTGCCGTCAACTTTTACCATGTTAGCCGCCTCACCTGATGACCAACTGGTGCGACAAATTCATGACAGCTGTTTAAGTATTCCGTTGAGATTCGCGTGTTCAAATTGTGGCTGCATCACCGATGTTCTTTTTCATCTGCAAAAATGTTCATGAAATTGCCTAGTATTCTCAGCTTGGCTCCTCTATAGTTGGTCACCCAGACCGCTTAGTAGTGTAATGCTATCGTGCATATCAACCTCATGATATCTGCTCGAGTATAAGAAAATGGGTGGCTCTCATCTCTTCCCGGACCGGGCACACCCAACCTTCCATTTCACAGGAATGCCTGCTCTAAGCTACGTTTCAACTTCATTCTTTCCCACAACTCAAATTCTTTTATTACTGTCCACCGAGTTAACCTCCTGCAGAGCCAGGACCATATTCTCACCTCTAGCCTTTGCTGTAACTTGATCTCATTCTTTGCCTCTCATACAAGTAGACTCCGACAAATGCTTAAGTAGAATGTTAGATGGACTGTAGACCCGAAGTCCGGGAGTGCATCACAGGTCGGAACCTGTCCTATCCATCATTCGAATATCCTACTTTTCCGAGCTCACCAGGCTAGCGGCCTGCACTGGTAATCCCATTCGCATTGACAGCCTGAAACCACCCGAACCCCTCATAGTTATTCATCTCAACTCTACTCTTTTATCTCTCCTTTTCTATATCGTTTAAGAAATTCGCTTACTTGTTACATCTCACTAGATGTAAGCGTTAGTGGAAGTCGATCCCACGACGGCCTTGTTACCGGGAAACTCCAACTTCCTTCTATGCTTTAATAATAACCTCATATATTCTACTTTAATTTTAGCTTCTCATTTCCACGTCTATCTATTCATAATTGCAGACAAGTACCAATTTTCCTCGTAACTAGCTCCCAAACTACGCGTAATTGCGGGAGCTTGCATAGCCCTAGGACCTCATTGCTTTTATTAATCCCCTTATTATGCCTAACTTCCTTTGCTTACATCCGGCTTGCTTTATCTGCTCGATAATAAGCGAAAAATCTTAACGGGATGGTCAGCGGTCCACTGGCAGAAATAGTTTGAGACCCAGGCTTTTGTGAACCCACTTTCTCCTAAGTTGGTCCCATTCTGCTTAGCTTTTGTCTGTTAAATGCTCGCCAATCGCTATTGGAAACATTGGCTGACGGATAGCACGAAAAACCAGATCCCATTTTTCGGCCATTCTTGCATCTTTACCATTTCATATTCTCTTGACTTGCTTGAAATCTTGCCATGCGTCAGAGTGCCACGGCCATGTCGGATACCTGAACACCCAGGACATTGTGATCACCACTTCATCTTATCTTGGCCATCACTAAGAAACTTATCTTGTACCTGGCTCCGATGCCCACTATGAGTTGATGAAACACATGCGCAGTGAAGGGTGGATAACCAGATCCTACATCTTAAGACGCCTTGCTCTTCTTAACTTATAATATTATTCACTCATTATGCCTGGCGCAGTGGAACAGTAAGAACCAGCAAAACCACAAGTGCGCTTGCGCACGATACATTCGAGCTTATGTTAGCCGAAGTTCCACGGCTAGATAATGACGCACCTGCAACAGACCCATAAAACAGTAAAGGGGAGCCATGAAAATGGAATAATGGTGGACGCTTAGTGTACTCAAATACGAGAAAAACCGATATTCCCACCTAATTCGATCCAAAGGTCTTAGAGCCATGGTCGTAAAGGCCCCGCTTAACGGTCTCAGTGAAATTATTGGTACTACAGGCTGCTTCCTATCTTTCCTCTACTTATCTACTTACTTTTGTTGGCCTAAGCCTTGTATTTCAAGTGTAAAGCGGACGGAATCTTTTTGTTATCTGGAACGTAACAACAGTGGTAGCGTTTGTAGTCTCTAGCACATGAATTTCAGGCAGATGAGCTCATATTTGCTAAATGAATATTGAGCTGGCCTGCTGTCTCCATGTGGAAAAGGCTTATATTGCCCAGCACTATATCTCGACTATTTTAAGGTATATAAAAAGTACCTTTTTCCTTCATTGCATTTCGATAAGTCAGTATACTTAAAGGAATGCTCGAGTCGCTCATCTTATCATGGACAAACTGAGGCGAGTTCACAGATACTGCGTTTACATAAGGTCCCGCATGGATCGTTTAGCATGATCGCGAAGTTACACACGTTAATTTTTTATTTTCAATTACTTACGTAAGTAAAATCAGATTTTTCGGTCTTTCAGGTCGCTCGTCGCAACCATCGCTACCTCTGTGCTGTGCCCCGGGGTTATTAGACGCGTCTTGTTACCTAAAATCTATCTATCCGAAATGTATTTTTTATGTTTTCCTTCTTCTTTTTTCGTGGTTTCTGTGGAAAGCGAAACCGCACTTTCAACGAAATTTAACGTAGGACGTTATTCGCAGCTTTTCGTAACTTCCAAACTGTTGAAAATATCGCAACCATAACGCTCACATTGCGGGCCCTGTCATCTACACTTTGGAATCCCACTGTTATAAAACATGACTAATAACACCTGAAAACCACATGCATACACATGACGCTTCTGTAGATTTTTATCTGGCCCTCTCGGGTTCAGTCTCTCGCAGACGAGAATATAGACTTAAGTGCTTGCTTGTTAGAATGATGGTCAAATTCGCCCCTAAGCTTGCATTGCGCTTGAGAGGAGACAAATAATCTGCGACAGTGATGGAACAAATACGTCCGAATGATAGAGTTCTCCACAATAAAACGTTGTCAACCAACCCCCGTTCATGTGAAACAATTCCTAGTGCTCCACAGCGCCGTGGAATTCATCGTACACTGAATTGTATTAGTCACCCACGTCTATTTTGTTGGTCCTCCACTCAGTTTCGGTTCACCAGCATCCCATTAGATGTGATTTTCCTACACAGCTAACCATTTACTTTGGTCGAATTACGCACTCAGCTAACGGCAGGTCGGTACTCGGAAATCGGGTTCTTATGCTGTGTCCGTATGCTTGTTTTCAGGACAGTGGCCATCGGATGAGAAAATTACTGCTATCCACCTACCCGACTAGTCTTACGGTCCCTGCATAATTAACAACGCGCATGAAGCTACCTGAGCGAGGGAAAGTACAACGAATGCCGAACCCTTCCAACAGACGTTCACTGGAAAGGAGTAGTTGTATAAGTGCTCTTAACAGGACAGAAAAGTCAGATGTTCTGTGGATTCGTCTGTTACAATTGCGTTTATTGTGGACACATTTTGCTTCCATTCCGTTTCGGTTCAGTGCGCACACAGTTGATGAGCGCGCAAGCTGCACCCCGTCTTAATTGCAAAACACACCGAACGTCTGCTCAGTGGATGAGTTCCGTTTCCTTAGTTAACAGTTAACGAAACTGAGACACCGCAACACAGATTTCGCGTAGCTTAATATGCGTCCACGACATGGGACGTGTCTGTCGTCCGAATTGGCTGGGAGTAGATCTATACTGCTCAATCGTTGCGCTGGTTAGATATACCTACGGTGGTACGAATATTCACTTTAAGTGCCCTTCTAAGGACTTTTACTTCAAGTCAAGCTAAGCTTTATACCGCGGTGTGGGCACATTTTCAACGATTTACGCTAACACGGCGAACACATTACAACGGAGAATGGGTAAGAAAATGATGTGAAATGACATGAAGAACAACAATTATTCATTTTCCAATAAGCATAAGTTTTCTCACCATCACTTTTGGGTCGACTAACCAGCGTGACATATAAGGCCCTAGGAGTTGCGACACGAAAAGGTGTGGAAAAGTGGAACATTAAATGTTGACCGCATAGTAGTGCTGTATACCTTAGTTCCTAAAACAGTGTGCAGGGGATGAGAGGAGTCGTTTAGAAACTTACATGGAAAGTTAAAATATGCGTCAACGTGCTTACTAACCACAAACTCAAAGAGGGATTCTCTGCTTACTCCAGAGCATCGAGAAATGTATTATAGTGATGGCACAAGCGAAATATAATCCTTTCGAGGTCCGGGAAAATTAACAAAGGAACAGTACAATCAATGGGGGAGACTGCATGCATTTACAAACTTTATAATTAGAGTACGCGGTACGGAGCACATTTTGATCCTAAGGGAGTAAAAGCATAGTCTGCTGACTTTTTTGAAAGTTTCAAGAATATGTGACGACCAAGATAAACTGTAGGACAAAAAACACCGAGGTACCTTATGGAATATGAATGATGGATGCTTCGGTCAATCAGTACCAAGGAGGAGATGCGTTTAAAAAGAAATTCAGTTTGTCGGGGTGGAGAAAAGTGAGTGGGATATCACAACAATTAAAAGGGTTAGGTGAAATAGATCGTGAGTTGAATCGAGACAAGAGTTCGTCCAGTCCTCTTTTGAATTTCGAAGCTTCCTCAATTGTTGGGTTTGTACACCCTGGGACGAGGTCGTCAGGGCATTTACAGCCGATGAAATTGATTGGTATAGGAAGACATTTAACATAAAGAGAAAACAGTACGGAGGATGGAATAGATCCTTGTAAGACACTGTAATTGGCTGGGATTGCGGAAAATTTTCTGTCACGTAACTGCGTGGAGTGTGTGTGATTTGTAGTATAGTCAGAAATTAAATTACATACGTACGAGAGCATACCGTTTTTGAACAAATGATTTAGCAGTAACGATCTGTCAAGACTTTCAAAGGCATTAGTATAATTAAGGAATAGGAGCTTACAGTCTTGCCTATATTTTCCAAAGCTGATGCAATGTAATACACAAGATACGAAACGGCTTCCAATGTAGAGATCGGACTTGTATGCAAAGTGTTTGATATCAGTCTTATGACTGTTTGTAAACATTCAAGGAATTGGTAGTTTTTCTAGCACATTCAGTAACACGGAAGCGCACGCTATTGGCCGATACTTCTGTGCTTTCTTTTTAAGCACAAATGTTATTCTGGCTGCTTTCCAGATCTCGGAGCTGGTGCCAATCGTTAAACATAGGTTAAGAATCTCTATCAGAGGCGACTGTAATGTGTCCGCACACTTTCAAATCGATTAGGGGTAAGGAATCAGGGCCACTAGCCAGTCTTGTGAGTTCTCTGTAAACGCTGATGTCGTCAAATAAGGTGGGGGATAATTCATGGCGAATGGAGTAGGGGAACCGTGTTTGGTGACTAGCACGAGCTGAATTCAGCATTTAGCTAGTCCACCTCCACAGTACCAAGTGTGCTAATTGAATTTTTGCTGAGCAGTTACTTAAATAGCCTCCACAAGTCACGGCAACAGTATTTTCCTAAAACAACTTAAATGTGTAGGCTATTTAACCTTTTCATCTTGGCTTTCATGACCACAGACAGACGTCTGACACGGATTGTTAGCTTGTATTTGTAAACGTTCTTTTTTCTACGAAGTTGCTTGTGTAGTGTTGATGAAAATCTATCAGTCCAATGATAGATGTTCTCAATGGAACAATAAAGATTGAAACAGAAGTTGATATATTACTTATGAATAGGAGGGTTTTAGTAGCAATTTTAATGTATTCGTCCCAGCAGTTTCCAAGCTACATAGCACAACCATAATCCGGAAAGCACCGGAGGTGTTTCACCCCTATTGTGTCTCGTCATTGGTGTGCATTCCCTCGGTCCCCTACTGGAGATCGAACCCATGACAACCAGGGGCTAACGCCAAGTAGCCATAAACTTAATCCACTGAGCCATGGGGACGGCAGCTGGGCTACATAATTTGCAGACTAACTGGGAAACAACACGACCTATCTTCCAATACCGCGCAGGTTACTACCCTTGCAGATGACAATGGCTAGCCTCCAAGTCATGACTTCCTCTCACTAGACGCTATATCCGTAGCATCTGAA